GTGTGTGTGTGTGTGTGTGTGTGTGTGTGTGTGTGTGTGTGTGTGGTCTAGCATTACTATACTTGTGGGGACCTAAATATGTTTACATAGTCACGTGTGGGGACTGGCTTCCCTTATGGGGACAAAATGGAAGTCCCCATGAGGGGGATCATTAATTTTAGGGTGAAGACTTGGTTAGGGTTAGGCCTGTGTTGGTTGTGGTTAAGGTTAAGATAAGTCTCCAGGAAATGCATGTAAGTCAATGTAATGTCCCCTGAAGTGATGTATACATGGTGTGTGTGTGTTAGAATGTATACGTGTAACTATATGTGTGCATCTAATTTCACACACTTCTCACCATATAGGAAAGCAGCTGTTCATCACATATGTCCCTATAGGTGTGATGCAGGGACCTGTCACATCCAGCAGCGCTCAGATCTGTTCAGGTTCAGTCGCTTCTTTATCATCAATCCACATGTTATCGTTAATGTAACACCTGCATATGAAGCGTTCAGAAACAACGGAAGTGGTTTTCTTACTTTGAGACACTAACAGAGACAAACAAAGCTTTGAATAACTTGTGTTTACTATTAATATGTATAGATACCAGTCTAGAAAGAAGAAATGTGTTTCATTGTAGTATAGTTGGTGCACCAAACTGAATTAAATGCTTAATTGTCTCTATCTTCTGAATGTATTACTTAATTGTTTATGTTTGTAAATCAACTAAATCTCAAAGGTGGATCCTAACAACATTTCTCTTATGTTACTTGTTGTAGTAAATGCTGATTTATTTCTCTTCACAGTGGTTACATCTAGCGTAAAATAAAACAAACTGGAAAAATAGACACCCAAATAGATATTTGCAATAAAAGGCAACCACGCTTTAATATCTTTTATTAGTATGTTCAATTATTTACAGGAGCAATAATCATGAGCAAAATAACAACCAATTCCTACAGAGTATTCTAAATTCAAATCAGTTGAAGAAATAATAATAACAAATATTTATTATTGCAGGATGTTTTTTTACTTAATTATGTGAGCAGGACTCTTCCTCTGTCTTTCTGCATCTGGTGTAATTGCCAACACTTCCGGTAGGAGGCGCACATGATTAAGCATTAATGTATGTGAGCAACATTCACATTTGAGCCAAACAGCAGAAGTGAAAACTCCCAGAGGAAAGCGTTACCCTTGATAACAAATAATAATCATGTATTATATTTCATATTAAGACACTATTATTGGCATTATATTGTTTTCCCCTTCAGACAAAAGTCAAATTATTTACTTGGACGTTTCTTGGTCCCGAGATATTGAAGCTATTATTTAGTTTTTTTAAATGATCAAACTTTCTAATGTAAATAAATAAAAATAACACACCTAATCATACTTTTACAATAGTTTGAGACACTTAATGTACTTTAATACACAGTGTACACGATATGATCAGACTATAATAGCCTATACGCACCTTTCTAATATGACACTGAATAATACCTGATAGCTAATTACACTAAAATAAATCTCGAGAGAAATGATTTGCTTGTACAAACTTTCTTTCTGTCTGAATCATTTCAGCCCGGAGCTCCCTGCTGGATATTCTGACAGGCAATAATATACTAGTAGTTTCATATAATTAGATGATCTGTGAAACCGTGCAGCAGGTCTATCTGAGCTGCAGCAGCGACACAAAGCAGGGAGCCTCTCTTTGCGGATCCCAACACGTTTAGGCGCAGAGCTGCGGGGCTGCAGAAAGTTTGACCTCAGTTTGACTCCCGGCTGTAGCCAGTTGCTCCATGTTCCTCCAAACAGCAACAGACAGGCACACATCACAAAGACAAGGACTCTCTTACCATAGAGATGTTGTCATTTATTAAAAAAATTCACGTATTTAAATTAATATTAACATTTGCATTATTTATCAGAACGTTTTCTGGCCTAAAAATAACTTACAGAGACTTAACATAGAAATATATAACATTACACATCCTAGGCTTTGTTTGTTTTAAGCCAACATAAAGTCCCTTTGTCTCATTACAGAAACAAACAATCACAAAGACTAGCACCCGTGAAACCATGGAGATGTTGTCTTTATGTATCATTTATTTGTTTAACTTTTATTTATTTTAATTAATATTCAAATTTGCAAGATTCTCTGACCTTAAAATGACCAAAAGAGACCTACAATAGGAACATGTAACACTACACATCTTAAGCTTTGTGTTTTAAGGCAACATAATGACTGCAAGTTGTCTTTGTCTCCTAACAGCACAGGTCACGGCGCACAGGCCGTCTAATAACACGTCCATTTGTTTCGGCAGTCAAACATGCTGTCAATTTACATTCAGCCGTTTGAAAGTAATACCTGCTGATTTTATTGGAACGACTGAAAGCATTACCGTCATCGCAAAGCGGATTAAACAGAAATGACGGTATTTGCCCCCCTGCTCTCTTTCGGGATACCAAAATGCGCTGACCCTCACGAAGGAGCAACTCAGGAGAGAAAGTGGAGCTGCAGTTTGCTTTTATAGACGCTAATTGAGGTAGCTTAATTGCTTTATAATGCCATTGTAGTTATTTTACAGTGGTCAGGCGCTGATGTGGTCTCCTTTCATGTTAATGTAGCTTTGCTTTTTCTCAATGACCCTCTACATTTTAGTGTGCCTTGTGGTGCAGTGAGCTATATAATCCTGTTTACGTTTCACTAAACCAACACATTGCTCTCAAAGTGGATTCAAACAGCAGCTTCTCAAAAAGAACGTCCCTTTAAGAACACATCAGTGACAATAATAAGCTTTTAATTATTTAATAACACCATAAAATAAAAAAATAATGAAGAAATTAGAGGTTATACTCACCAATAATTAATTTACATAACAAATTCGACCCAAAGGCTGTTTATTAATTGATCCGGAATCTCTGTGCGTAAAAGTCCGTGCGTCCTGTCGGCTCCGTGGCTCCTCTGCTGCCCGCGCCCCGGAGCGTCGCTGGCCGGACTGCACGAGGCTTTGATTGTAATTTTATGCTTGTAAATGTGTCTCCTCGGATCGCATCGCTCGGGCTTTACCACAGGAATCACCGCAGAATGTGTGAAGCCGCATTATTGTGTTATGACACTGTTTCTGGCACCCGGGGGCAGATGATCAATGAGTGGACGGGCTGCACGAAGAAAAAAAAACTTCAAACAGGCTGTCACCGACCAGCAACACCTTATGAGCATAATCAGGAGATCATGTGGCTCTTACATTCTTGTACTAGCTTCACCTGTGATGGGCTGAGAAATAAATGAACAGTATAGTCGATGATCATCATGTGGAAAACAACTAGAAAAATAGACAAAAATCCACTCAAATATTCCGGAAATCCCTCAGCGTCTTACCTTAAAACTTAGTCAATCCACGTACTTTATCCCGTTTTTACAAGACTGCATATGCCATGAACTATATCATAAATATTGTATGCAAATGTTGAGGCAGTTATGCTCTTTTCTTAATTAAAAAAATATTGAATGACTAAATTAAATAAGATTTCTACGCCTTTATATGCCAGTGAAGAATGAAATATAACGAGTGAAAGTTGTAAATCCAAACTATTTTGTTAATTTACATCCACACATTACTCAACGATATCATTACTTCTTTTGGGAAATTACTGGAGAATCTATAAGTTTCCCCTCCACAAATTAAAGCTCATCAATATTTGACCAAACTTTTACAACCTCTGCTCTGCAAACCGTGAAATGTTAATTATAGAGACAAAAGTTAAACTAATAACTTCTGTGGAGAGAAGAAAGTTGTAAATATCTTAATGTAAGTGTTAACTGTTTGGTTTTGAGTCGTTTAGTCAGAGTGTGAGTGCACTTAGAAGTTATTAATGAAGTTAGAGATGTGAAAATGTGTGTTTTTCCGCGTGTGTGTGAGAGAGGAGACTGAACGAGGGAGAGAGAGAGAGACGTCTTGGTTATATCTATATATGTATAAAATATTCTCTATTTCAGTTAATTTACAGCGTGTAGAAAACACAGAGTGTGTGTTTTCTATTCGCAGACGATGTTTTGTTTTGTGCCTCGTCGCAAATGTGGCCTAAAATCGATCAATCAGCCCCGGATCGATCATGAGGGGAGCCAATAGGGGGCTCCCATCCCTGAGCCTCTCTGCCATTGGACAGCCCGGGCAGACTGGAGCGACCCATTCAGCGCTGCAGTGGGGGAGAGGGACGGAGGACATGTGAACTGTTATTTAGACCTGAAGATGTTTTAATGACTTATTTCAGCATATAGCATGATCCAAATGTCAGTATGTTGACTTATTACTGCTTTTACACCGATAACATCCCTTTGTTTAAGCAATATAAACAGTGATTCCTAATTACTTGAATAAAGTTGTATATGTTGTCTTTTCTCTCTGAAATGTGGCACTTTACCAAGCAGTTTATTATGTGCATTTCCAATATTTAACATGCTGTACGTTAGGGAGTAAAAAGGCTGTATTGAAGTACAAACTGAGTCCAAACTGTGTGTTTGGCTCCAGCCTCCACTGTGGATATCATGCAGACATGCTGTTGACAGAAGCTGAACATGACTTTAAATCTGTTTTAATGAACTACTTTCACCTTATGTTTATAAATAGGAATACACACAAAGTTAAATCCAGTCTTATTTTTCAAATCCAACCATATTAGCTGTTGAAAACATACCTGACAATATCTCACATCAGAGTTGAAAGCAGGTCGTTAATAAACTGTTTACAAGAAGAGAAGTGAATGCTGCGCGTAAATCCAGATAAACAAGAGTTTTTTCCGGTATATTAAAACATCTCCAGAGTGAGAATTAGAGTCAGTCTCTGAGAAAGAGACATGAAGCCGGAGTCAAAGGTGTGTATTCGCGGTTTATCCCCGTGTTTTTGCAGCTCACGGTCTCGCTGGGTCCTCCCACCCCCCCTCCTCTCCGCACGACTTGCTGCAGCCCGGTGCGTTGTGTAAGACGCGACCTGTTATGGCCACCACTACTTCCGGGTTTCAGCAGTCTGGTCCAGATCCTCCGCTCCTCCTCAGCTCAACACACACATCCATTGTACACAAACGGGCAGGCGGCTCACGCATACACATGCACTCACACACATGCACACGTATATACGCACACACGCACAGCATCGATCGTGGCTCCTTTAAGAAAAGCCTAAGCCAGAATTATCACCCCACCTCCTCTTGATCTCCTCTAGTTGCGTTTGCATAAGAAAATCAAGCCGGGAGCCGAGAGTGATCACAGAAAACCAGAGGAGAGCAGCTTCATTTTTTAACTGTGATTGTGACCATTAACATTTAGCTGGTGCCGATCCCGTGGAGACGCGAGTCGGACCATCATTCATCCGGTACTTTTGACAAGCCCTCGCGTTTTGACTGACAGGCGGAGTGACAAAAAGCCATGAGAGTCGCCACTTTTGTTTGAGGGGCTATTTTATTTTCCTCCTGGTTTCGGAAAAGGAGCCTGGCTGCCGCTGCCCCGAGGATAGCCGAGGACCTATTCGCCGCGCCTGGGCTAAACTTGCGCAGAAAGCGGGGGCTGGCTCACCGTTCCGTGGAAGAAGAGGCATACGGGATTTTGTTGCTGAAACATCTTCCCATTTATTTGGATTTTCTTTCTTCATTTCGTCTCCACCCTGGCCTCAGAGGGGATTTATCTAAACTGAAAGGACGACCAGGGAGTCAGGAGGGTTATGGCGCAACGGGTACGTAGGGCAATCCCCCTAAAAAAAAAAAGTTTCTCTAAGTCTGCTGTGCCTGAATGCGATCCTGCGCTGTAAAACGTGGCTTAATGACACACGGACATACACTCGTAGCGAAAGTTTCTGTCGTCCGTCTGACACATGGTGACACAATTTCCATTTTTGCCGTCTTTTGGCACGGTATTACGCACGGCCGCACTCGTTCGCTCCACAAACCGGCCCGCTGAGGGACATTGGAAGCGTGATCATATCTCACATCGGCTATGTTTTTTAGATTAGTTATGACAGGCCAGTTACTGGAAGCGAAATGGGGGAGGGCATGGAGGCAAAACAAATCTCCACATTTCTCCCTAGACTGTTCCATCATTATTTCATATTGAGTGGAGCATTTTTTAACAAAACAAAACTCCTTATTTCACAATCAGTTGAGCTTCGTCATTCAACTTTACACTGCCAAAAAACATGCAATATTAGCATAATGTCATGTTAAAATATCACGAGAGGCAGTTTTTAGTAATGAGCTGATGACAATCGCTTTGATTCATACACTGGGATCTTCACAGGATAGTAAACAGTGTAAAAGCAGAGATGTTAGAGACACTGGACATTGAGCTTCTTAGTTTGACACTGGAGCTGCAGCACACTGGGGTTTGCACCTCTGCTCAGCTTTTAAGTGATAATGCTTTTTACTCGGCACTTGTTTGTGACTTAGAGAGCACTATCAATAATTCAAGCCTCTTTTTTCATCTGTAAAAGTAGCAAAACTTTTTTTTTAAATAGCTCTTATTTAGTCTTTTGCAAACCTAAATCAACATGTGTGCTTTTTAACGCATCGTCTAAGTGTTTAAAAACTATTAAACCACAATGTGGACGCGAGATTGTATAATTCAACTTAAAACTTGAATACAAAAAAGTTAGAAAATCCAGTTTAACATCGTCTAGAAAACACTAAGCGTTTACTTGCGTTTGTTGCATTCTCACAGCGTGCTTATGGGTGAAAACATGTTGCACAATTATGGGCCTTTAAAATTAGAAAACACTGCAATTAACAAGTTTAAGACATGTGTTGTTGAACACGGACAGGACACAGTAAACCAGACTGGTGGGGTTAAAATAGCACTTATAATGATCATAATAATAATAGATAATAACTGAGGTATGTAGCTGTAGTTTTACTTTTTTGTTCTCCCAGTGTTTTTGAACGTATTGGATAATTATTATGTATTTGAGCTACAAGGGTCACTGAACAAGTTTAAAAGAAAAATAGTTTTAATGTTAGAATACATGCTGTAGTCTTTCAACTGTGAATGTCCTGCTGAAAAACACATGCACATCAGTCTTAAAACGTATGTTTTCGTAAACAAGTATAACATTTTAACGACCGAGATAAATGCATTTCTCATGTTTTTCAGTGTCAGTATTCTGAAAGAAAGCAGAAAAAGGGCAGCTCAGTTCAGTTGTGTCAGTAAACCGCTTTGAATTAAGAAAAATGTTAAAACAAGTCCATTTGATTGGGAATTAATGAAACTATTTCGCCGTGTTGGCAGATTACTTTTTTAACAGAAGAAACCCATGACTTAAACTCTCGCTTTTGCTTTTTCAAAAATATATTCCTAACTTGTGGTTTTATAGCAAAGTTATATCCAGAGTTTAACACATTATTGTGCATGTTTTCACTGTGGACTGTGTTTGTTGTGTGCAGTACGAAGACTTGCCCCACTACGGGATGGACGGGGTGGGCATCCCGACCACCATGTACGGAGACCCGCACGGAGCCCGCTCCATGCAGGCGGTGCATCTGAACCACGGGCCCCAGCTGCACTCCCACCAGTATCCGCACACCGCCCACACCAACACCATGCCTCCCAGTATGGGCACCTCTGTTAACGACGTTCTCAAGAGAGATAAAGACGCTATATACGGGTAGGTGTCCGCGGGGAAACTCGCTCTGTGGCGGGCAGGCCTGGAGGGGGCAGTCGGGGTGGGCTAGTGGTGCAAAGTCAGTCCCGTAGCGAGAAAAACACCGGCTCCATGCCCGGGAAGCGTTTCAGCAAAACAGTGGAGCCCAAACTGCTGCAGAAAAAACTAACTGCAGCCTTCATGTTCTCCAAACAGTTTGTAATGTTAGGCTTTTAAAGTCAGTCGCTTTAATTGCGCATGAACAAATACTAAATGAGTAAATAAAGAAATAATACGAATTTGCTGCCATTTAATTCCCTGAAAATTGTATTTTGACTCTTAGGAATAATTATGACACAAAACCACTTTAATTAGAACTTCTAATATTTTCAAAAAAAATGTAGCTTGCTTAATTTCTTATTAAGTTTCATCGTTTATCACGTGGCAACAAAATAATTAACTCCTCTCTTTCACCCATTTTAATTAATTGTGTGTAATGTTCCAGGCTTCAGCAAATTAAAAATATATCATGTTTAAAGGAAATCCCACATAAGCATGTCATTTATTAATTTACAGGAGTTAATTAAAAATGCTAAGCATGATGTCTTCACGGTGGCTAAACATGCCAGTAACAGTTTCTTCATATTGTCCCATACTGACATAACTTTCAACACATCACCAGTCTAGACATATTTACTCTGCTGACTTAAACAATACATACTAAAACACAACTGTGCGTACACGTATAGTTTCAGAGGCTCTCACCAAACACACATACACACACACATGGATCCAAACGGTGTGCAAGAAATTGTTTGACTGGCTCTAAAGCTTTTATGCTATTAGGCGCGCCTAGATTTAATCACAGAAGTCTGCCCGCTGTTTGCAGCCTTTCTCCGAGCTCTGCATAATATAATAGCCCGGGCAGCAGCAGTCCCCATGGGCGAGTTGTTGGAGAGTAGCATGGCTGGCTAAACCTAGCCCGGAGTAGTCTTGACCCCGGCGCTGTTCTCTCTGGTGACATTTGCTATTGTGTGTGTTCCCAGGCACCCCCTGTTCCCCTTGCTTGCACTGATTTTTGAGAAATGTGAATTAGCGACGTGCACCCCCAGAGAGCCCGGGGTGGCGGGCGGAGACGTCTGTTCATCGGAATCTTTCAATGAAGACATAGCAGTGTTTGCAAAACAGGTCAGGAAACTTTGACTTTTTTAAATCTGCATGCTCGGGCTGGTTCAGCTCTCACCTGCATGCATTACGCGTAGAGCTCTTTCTTATGGACCTAAAGTTGATCCTGCATTGAGAGAAAATAAAATAACATTGCCTCGTAAAAAGTTTTTTTTAATGTTTTAATTTCTTACGCTGTGTTTGCTGTGCGTAAATTATACATTAACACGACACCATGCCAATACTTGCATGTCATATTTAATCTACGTTATAAATATATGTATTAATATAATATGTATTATATAAATATATTATACTAATATATTTTTGTAAAAATGTGTTTTTCTTCTAGATTCGGGCAGAAAAGCCTTTATTTTCATCGAATCCAGAATTGGATAATCTGGTAAGATATTTCATGCCCACTAAAATGTGCTTATTTTCTTGGAGTGTCTTGGAGTACACCAGCTGTTGTTTGCCTGTTTATACCGGGCTGTAGGTGTCAGAGAGCCCTGTGGTTCTGAACCGTCAGGATGATGCTCCTCTGTTTGGGCTGTTTGATTCCATGATGGCCCCCGGTGTATCTGCAGATGAAGGGCCGCTGTTAGACAGCTGACACAAACCTTTGAACTGTGCCTGGGAACTTATTCTCTTCATGCTCCTCACTTTGTACAGTTTGATAGTGTGACTGTGATGTGAGAGTAACGTTTTCCTCACGAGTATCTGTGCTAATAGATCTGACTGAGGCTTATTGCAGCGCCAGCCTGTACTGTATGTCTGCTCTCCATATTGCAATAACGTCCAAGTTTAATATCTGTTCCACATAAAATCCATTCATATGAATATTTTTTCTCGTCTGCAGTTACTTGTATTGAGAAAAACGTGCCTGTTTAATATCAAGAGATGTGAGCAACTCATTTTTTATTGTTATTTAAATTTTTCAGATGATTCAAGCCATTCAAGTTTTACGATTTCATCTTCTGGAGCTGGAGAAGGTAATATTCCCTCACCATTTCTCTGTCCAGTGCGCCACTTCAGACCTAGGGGCTGTATTTGCAGAAATGTATTTTTGCTAGTCGGTTATAATTAGCGTCAAAATCAATCATGGGGCCATTTCTCTTCCGCGTTTAATCACGATGCAAGCTGTTACAACTGGAACGGATATCTCTGTGCCCAAATCTCCCTGCATGTTTTAATGAAGTTTAATGCTGGCAGAAATTACATACAAGGTGAAACATATAGGCGAACTCTGCGGGATTTTAGAAATAATTCCTCGTGGAGGGCAATAGGCCCCATGCAGCCATCTGTGGATAGAGGCAGCAGTGGGTGTACAACTCCGATTTGTTTCCCTATCAGATGGAATACAGTAGCATGTGCAAATTAGCTTTAACCTATGGAACATTATCAAAACTGTTAAAGTTTTAAAAGTTGGTTCTCATGCCCTTTCTTGGATAATGTTCTTTAAATAGATAGTAAACTGTGCACATATCAAGAACATGTTAATCAAGTTAAAGCTGGTTTCTCTATATTTCTCTGCCCATCTGACATGTGTTCTTCTCGGGCGACACGATGCGCATTGGCAGTGATAATGTAATAAGTCTGCGAAATTAAACAGTTTACCTTAAATGTCAGTCATGCGGGTCATCCTGCTCTAATGGCCACTACCCGGGGCTCCATGATGAATTTAACACGGGTGTTGAGTGCGTTGTAGCCTCTGAGCCCTCTTGTCACTGTCAATTTTCGACGATATCTCTATTTGAGAGGAGACAACATTAAGTTACTATCACAGTCCGGATGGAGTGCACTGCCACGGCACGGGAACACGACACACTTTAGCCTAAAGAGTCC